TAATCATATATGAGGGGTTGCTGGTGAATAGACGTGTATGTATATATATATATATATATATTGTTTTTCTGCATGTACAAGGTTTAACTTCTGTGTTTTTATACGTGAAAAGGGAAGAATTCAGTGGATGTAAGTATGCACCTGGTCCCAACAAATGGAAGCCTAGAATTTCACAGAGAGAAGAAATCAAATGGCAGCCATGTGGGGACTAGTCGGGAGAAAGAACAAAACAATCCATGGCTGGTCCAGGCTGTGAGGTGGTGAAGTGATAGGCTGTTTCTGGTTTATTTTTTGGTAGTTCTGCAGATAATAATTTATGGGTTGTGCTTTTTTCTGAGACTCTTTTCTTCTTTAGTTCATAATCAATTCAACTTTTTTTTTTTTTTAGGGTTGTGGAATCATCTGGTTCTTTGCAATAACTTTGCAAATTGTTTGATTTTTGTTTACTTAATTTGAAGTTTCTTTGCTAAACATTTTATTGTACGTATCGAGTTTGGTTTCACCTTATTTGAGTTTATCCGAGTTTAAGTTTCCTCTCTTCGGGTTTAATGTTCTTCTTTCTGTTGGGTTTTTTCAACAAATGAGCTTAACGCGAGTTTTACTATAAATAACACACTATCGATTTATGGACCCGTTTAAAAGTGATCAAATAATGTTAAACGGAATTGAACTTCAACTTTTTCTTTTTTTTTTTAGGGTTGTGGAATCATCTGGTTTTTTCTCTTTCAAATGGTATGATAATCCTTTGTTGCTTTGTCGGTATCTGCCCCACAATTTGTAGCAATGTCTTCCAATAACTTTGCAAATTATTTGATTTTTGTTTACTTAATTTGAAGTTTCTTTGCAGAACATTTTATTGTACGTATCGAGTTTGGTTTCAGCTTATTTGAGTTTATCCGAGTTTAAGTTTTCTCTGTTCGGGTTTAATGTTTTTCTCTCTGTTCGTTTTTTTCAACAAATGAGGTTAACGCAAGCTTTACTATACGTAATACACTATCGATTTACGGGTCCGTTTAAAAGTGATCAAATAATATTAAACAAAATTGAACCTTAACACATCGAGTTTAGGTGCAGGTTTACTACGTTCGAATATTATTTTTGTAATTTCTTGTTTTACGATAGGTAAAACGAGAAATATAAAAATATGACGATATAAATAGACGATTATTATGATCTCCGAATCGTACGCGCGTCATTTTATTTTTTATAAAATCCTATCACCGAATAAAAATAGCTTTTGATGCCGCGTGTTGAGTCGAAAGTACCTACCGCATGACGCAATCAAATGTTTCGTGATGGATCCAATTAATTTGGTACGAAATTGCATATTTACATTTATCATATCTGGTTGATTTAAAAAAAAAAAATTCCAACACTCTCGTGATATCATCTAAGTTTAAACTTCTTCCGTTTGAGTTCAACGATCTTCTCCCCATTTCCGTTCTGTACCAGATGTTAATCCAAGTAATTAAGTAGATGACCCACTAATTTGATATTTTATTTTTTTTCTCGTTCACTCACAACGATTGAAACCAAATGAAATGACACATAAAATAATAGATGAACGTTATAAAGTAAACTATACTTTAACGTCGTGAGTAATCTTAAAATAAAATATAGAACAAAGACGAAAGAAGCCGATTACACACTTCGTGTGATCGCGTCTCGCTAGGTAAGTTAATTTTTCATTTGTGTTTGTGTACATAATATCAGATATACCATTTCAATCGTTTAGAAAAATCATGGAAGTCAAAAATCTTTTATGTTATTCTTAAAGATTATAATTTTGAATCTTACCGAGCACGTAAATTTTTTTACTTTATAAGTACATGATAAACTAACGATATTCATATATAATATTTGATTTAATATAATCGATAACTTAAATTACTCGTATACTAATAGATACGTGCGTTGATCGAGTTGGGCCTAACTTATTATATGTCCA